CCCCAAAAACCCCAAAACCCCAAACCCCTTCACTATCTTCAGCTAATTTAATGTTATTTGAATTTGAAATATAAAATAAAATGAAAAGACCAAGTTCCGCAATTAGACCCCCAATTAAGGAAACTGTTGTAAAGCAAAAAACTGTTAAAATTTCTGAAAGTAACTACAGTACAAAGTAGTCTAAAGATGAAAACACTAAAATCTAACCCAAACAAATGCAACCAGTAAAAAGCTCTATAGCTCTAAAGAATATAAATCAAGACTTAAAATCAGATCTCAGAGTTTAAAAAACTGAAAAATTGACTTAAAAATATTCTCAAAAAGCGATTCCAAAAGCAACTAATGCCAATCAAGAAAATAAAGTTGTGAACCAATAGCAATAGAGTACTCCTCAAGATATTTAAGATAGAGCAAAAGTGATTAGTGATCCTTAGAAGAAACTAAAAATGGTTGAGAACTCTATTGAGGAGGATGTGAGAATATTTAAAAACTAAAGAAGTAAACTAATATAATGGTATTTCTCCAATCTTAAACTCTAGCAATCCTATGAAGTCTAGTCTAAATAGGCCAGGGTAATTTTCTTTGCTTAATAAAGTTTATTAATAGGAGGAGATATTCGATAGATTTATGCAGTTTTACTAACTTCAGTAGGAAAACTTTGAATTACAGAGACTGACTCAAAATCATCAAAAGGTTTCCATAATAGATGAGTCTCTCAACATACAATATGATACACTAACAGATATTAACGAAAGTTGGCCTTAGTTTCTCACTAATCTAGACTTCCTAGGATCTAAATTAGAAAGAAGTTTAAATCATTTAGCACTTGGTTGCGATACAATAATTGAAGATAGTTAATTATTTCAATGCTAATTAGGTGAAATGAACAACTAATTGTTGAGAAGCAATCATTAACTCTAAACTATGAATCCTTTTGTATAATTTAATAAGCTCTTAAGTATTTTTGTAGATGGATTAAGTAAAGGATAAGCTCAATGAACTATAGAATATCATAAATTTGGAATGTGAGTAATTAGCCATCCTTGAAAAACTTAATCAAAAGAAGTAAAATGAAAGTCTTAAAAATAATTGTGAAAAGATAGCTGAAATACTAGATAATAGAGAAGAATCTACTGAAATAGTAGCACTAACTAATACATTTTAGAGCTGAATTGAGAATTGAGTATACAACTTGATATATGAATATTTTTTTTTATGAAATTAATTAGTAAGTGATAGTTTATATTAAATTCAGAAGCTCACTTTCTCAAATTAAGTGTAAATTTATAAATTTGACTAAGATTTACCTCTATCAAGTCATTGAGGGGTTTTGGGGTTTTGGGGTTTTGGGGTTTTGGGG